GCGGGCGGGAGGCGCCGTGGGGGCAGCGGGCGGCGGGGGGGACCCCGGCAGCAAGCGGGGACCCACCAGCCCCCAGCCCCCTCACCCTCCGCCCTCCCTCCCGCTGCGGCCCAGCAAAACGCAGGGGCTGCCCCCAAAACCGGCCGCCCCAAGAAGGCCGGGGAGGAGCCGGCGGTGAGGGGACCCGACGTGGACTCGCTGGGCTTCCAAGCCATGGACCGCAACGTGCCGGGGCTGTCCCACGTCATCCTCCAGAAGCTCAACATGAAGAGCTATGAGGACTACAAGTGAGTGAGCACCCATGGGTGGGTGTTTTTCCCCCTGGCCGGAGCAATGTGTGTCCCCAAGCTGGAGCATCTCCCCCTGGCTCACCCCACCTGCCCTGCTCAGTCCGCATGTGGGGTGCTCCTGGGTGCACCCCTCCACCGGCCCATTCCTAATCTCCCCGTTCCCCACCCAGCCCGGGCCAGGATGCTCCTCTTGGCTGAAGCTAAAAATCTTTGGAGGGAGGACGTCAGCCCCTCTGTGACCCCCACACGGCGTGGGCTGGAGCTCACCTCTCCCAACGCCTGCAGGTCTGCCATGGACGGGAGGAAGAGCAGCAGCGATTTCGGCATCCGGACTTACTTCGACATGTTCCAGAAGATGGAAGACACCTTCAAGTTCTGCGCCGAGTGCAAGAAGCTCCCCGATGCCCTCCCTGATCCCAAAAGCCTCCGGCGATGCAAGAGGTATGGCAGGGGGGAACGTGGTCTGGTGGCACAGGGGTCGATCTGTGCCCCCCAACCCAGGCTGGGGGGAAAATGGAGGTGACTGGTCCCAGCCTCCAGCCGAAGGGCACCCCCAAAACAGGGATGTAGCCCTGGGAGGGTGGGAGGGATCCTGTCCCCCCCGGCCCTGTCATGGCTGGACACGCTGCCTCTCTGCCGAAGGGCACCCCCAAAACAGGGATGTAGCCCTGGGAGGGTGGCAGGGATCCTGTCCCCCCCCAGCCCCACCATGGCTGGACACGCTGCCTCTCCCTCCCCAGGTGCCAGAACGTGTACTACTGCGGCGTGGCATGCCAGCGTGCCAACTGGCCACTGCACAAGAAGTTCTGCAAGAAACTGAAGCTGGTGGCCCTGGATCGGCTGGTGGAGTGGCTCGTCTTCACAGGTGGGACAGGGGATGCTGC